TCTTTGACTCTGTGAGGGAGGTGGTCTGTGACCACTTTTCATGGCTACAGGGGCGCAAGGTGCACTTCACAGCGGAAGTGTCAGCACGGCTACCTCTTGCTCACAGCCCACTGGTGGCAGCCAGAGGACTTGAGTAGTGGCAGGCATCATTCTCAGGCCCACACAAAGCCTGTCCAAGCGTTGCCCATTGTCCCATCACACGACTTCAGATTGCAGAGCTAATCTGTTTCCGAGAGCCCTGCAGATTTACTGATGTTAATAGCACCTTGGACACTTTTCTCCTGTTGGTGCTACTGATTTTGCCTATGCCTCTTCCTTTCCTTCTGCCCCCCCAAGCCTGTCCAGGCATCTCTGTGCCAAGAAGGCCAGGCTCTGTCTCACTCAATGCCTGCCCGGCTATCCCATGCCAACATGGTGCTCCAAAGTCCACTCGGGCTACTGCCTGAGTAGGTTGGCAGAATCTGCAGCAAGCCACAGGAGTTCATGGATTCAAACTGCTGACCTTCCGATCAACAAGTCCAGTGGCTCAGCAGCAGTTTAACTCAGTAGGTAGGCAGAAGCAGGAACAAGGGACAAGAGCTCAGGTCACCCCATTGCATGGATTCAAACTTCTAATCTACTCAAGAAGCCCAGCGGCCACCTTGATTAACCACCATTAGTACCATTTTGCAGTCGGACCCTATTCTCCTGCTGTCGTTGTTGCTTTGACAACCTCAGTGGCCTCCTGGGGAAAAACCTAAATAACTTTGCAGGCAAATGTCATGTTGCAGAAGAAGAAGACCAGAGTCTCCTGCAGCTACCTTTTGCCTCAGTGCCCTATTGGGCCACCTAATGCCTAATTATTCTTTTTTCTGTTATAATATCAATCAATCAATCAGACCTTTATTGGCATAGACAGGACAACGTATAAAAGGAAAGTTAAAAGAGGAGTACAGTTTGCTGGTCTTTGTTACACAGGATTGTAACATAGTGTAGAAAGGATGCTACACTCGCAGATACATCCTGTAAAGACTTCCGCTCGAGAAGCCCAGCGGCCACCCTGATTAACCGCCATTAGTAGCACCTTGCAGTCAGACCCTATTCTCCTTCTGTTGCTGCCCAGTAGCCTCCTGGGGACAACCTTAAGTAACTTTGCGGGCAAATATGATGTTGCAGAAGAAGAAGACCAGAGTCACCTGCTTTTTGCCTCAGTGCCCTGATGTGGCCAAAAAGCCTGCTTTCCGGCTGCGAACGTCCTCAGTGCCTGATGGGGCAAAAGGTCAACGGCGTTGCTGGCCATTTGAACAATTTCCTAATCCTGCAGCTCCTTCCTCTTTGGCTACATTCCAAAAGACCTGTTTGATCTGCCCCACCCAAAGGCTGTCTGGGCGGGGCCCCATTGCCCAGCTTCAGACTGCAGAGCTCGTCTGGTATTCAACCCATGCCAAGGGGGCCGGCCTCTCTAAGCCCCCCCCAACCTCTGAGAGCTATCTTTATCATATCTGGGCAGTCTCAGCAGCCAAGTTGCAAGCAATCCCCAACTTTCTGCAGTGGAACCTCGAGTTGTGAATGTCCCTACCTACGAACATTTTGACTTAGGAATCGCTCCGTTCGCAAAATTTTGCTTCGACTTGCGAACGGAACTTCCACTTACGAACACAAAAAGGCAGGGAGAAAGGGCAGGAAATTTGAATTTACTAACTGTTGGTGGTGAAGATGCTGCTTCTTTGTATCAGAATCTGAGGAAGCCGTTTCAGTTCTAGATCAGTGTCCGGTGTATACTGAATGAGTGCAAATAAACTGAAATTTAACTCAGACAACACAATAGTCCTGGTCAGTCAAAAGGCAAATCAAGAAATAGGGATTCAGCCTGTCCTGGATGAGGTTACACTTCCTCTGAGAACACAGGTGTGCAGCTTGGGGGTGCTCCTGGACTCATTTCTGTGCCTGGATGCCCAGGTTGCAGTAGTGGCCAGAAATACCTTTTACAGTTAAAACTAATGTGCCAGCTGCACCCATTTCTTGAGAGGTTGGATTTGGCCATGGTGGCACATGCCCTAGTTGCATCTTGGCTGGATTACTGTAATGTGCTCTACATGGCACTACCTTTGCAAAGTATTTAGAAACTCCAATAAATCCAAAATGCTGCAGCTGGATTGTTAATTGGGGCTGGTGACAAGGATCACATACCACCACCACCCCATTACAGCAGCTCCATTGGTTGCCAATCTGTTTCTGGACATAATTAAATGTGCTGGTTTTAACCTATAAGGCTTTAAATGTGTTGGGCCCAAGCTATCTGAAAGACCACATCTCCCTCTATGAGCCTGTCTGGGCATAAAGATCACCAGGGAGGCCTTTCTCTGAATCCCAGACACACTTGGTGAGGACTCAGGAGAGGGCCTTCTCTGCTCCTGCTCCCAGACTCTGGAACTCTCTCCTCTGGGAAGCCAGGTGAGCCCCATCTTTGCTGTCATTCTGCAAGCAAGCAAAGACCCTTCTCTTTAGGAATGCTTTCTTTTACTGATTGTCTGAGGGGATTTTAAAATGTTGCTTTTAAATGTGTTTGTAGTATTAATTCTGTTTACCATTTTTAATATACTTGTTTAATTCCTTTTTAATATTTGTATGCTTATTGTTTTTATTTTTTAAATCTTGTCTTTTTAATGATGTAAGCCACCTTTGATACTTTTAAGGAGAGGGGCTGGGTAAGATATCTTAAATACATAATAAAAGACAATACAGAAAGACAGGTGACTAAGTAACAGCTGTTACATTTCAAAGATTCAATATTGCTTGTATAAGAGACTGAGATGCAACTCAGAAGTAGCCCCCCAAGGGCCATGATCCACACTACTAATTTTATGAATTGCACTTCTACAGTTCACAATACAAGATAGTAATGTATTCTTGAAGGCTTTCACAGCCAATAAAAGACAATACAGAAAGACAGGTGACTAAGTAACAGCTGTTACATTTCAAAGATTCAATATTGCTTGTATAAGAGACTGAGATGCAACTCAGAAGTAGCCCCCCAAGGGCCATGATCCACACTACTAATTTTATGAATTGCACTTCTACAGTTCACAATACAAGATAGTAATGTATTCTTGAAGGCTTTCACAGCCGGGAAAGAGTTCTAACTCCTGTCCTCTGAAGATGCCAGCCACAGAGACTGGCGAAACGTTAGGAAGAAAAACCTTCAGAACACGGCCAAACAGCCCCCAAAAAATCTACAACAACCATTGTCAGGGACTGCTTTTGTCAAAGGTGGGAACTGACCACCTGCAGGAAACATGGTAGTAACTTGCAACATCTCCTGTTACCATATTAAACGTACAGTGGTGCCTCGCTTAACGATGTTAATTGGTTCCAAAAAAGCATCGCTATGGGAAAACATCGTTAAGCAAAATGCGTTTTCCCATAGAGATGCATTGAAAACTGGTTAATCCGTTCCAATAGGCACGGATTGCCGTCCTTAAGCGAAAAAACCCATAGGAAACATCATTAAGCGATACAATGTTTCCTCCATTGGAATGCATTGAAGCCTATTCAATGCATTTCAATGGTTTTGCGATGTCCATTTTTGCAAATTTAAGTGTGTCTTAAAAGGTTCAAAAACTGTTTTAAATGCTTGGAATCGTTAGTGCACCTTCTAAAACGGGTGCAAACTTAATTTGGCTTTGATCTGACTTTTCGTTAATTTTTGCTGATTTTCCCCCCACCAACTTTTGACAGCTGTCAAAATTTGACAGCTCCATGCTTTCCTATGGGGGAGAAAAAAATTCACA